GTGGTGTACATCATACACATTCAGACAAAACACCCTCACACATAAACTTAAAATCAAATAGAAAAGCAAGGCAGCCGCCCCAGACACGTCCCTAATGGAACCCCATGATCCTCTTGTGGCCATCTGTATGTGGACCACTATCTCTTCTATAGCACACAGCATGAGATTTGAAACTAAGTTCAGGTTGAGGTTGTGAGTTTTCAAAGATGTTTACCTTACCGGAAACAAACTTTTATTTGTAAAATGAATAGTGTGTAAATGGAGACTACTCATTCATTTCCCAGCCAACCAGACCTGAATGATCACACAGAACTATATTAATGACAACACTGTTTGGCCAATGACTCAGGCATATTTCTAACTAACTCTTACATCTTAAATTAACTCATTCCTATTATCATCATGAGGCTGTGGCCTACCAGTAAGGTTTCAGCAGGTGTCTTTCTCTTTCAGTTATGTGGTGTCTCTCTGACTCTGCCTACTCTATCTCTTCCAACCTGGCTATTTTCTGCCCTGCTATAGGCCAAAGCAGTTTTATTCATTAACCAATAAAAGCAACATATATACAGAAGAATATCTCACATCATCTCCCCTCTTCTGTCTAATTAAACAGGAAGATTTTTAACTTTAATGTAATAAAATTATATATACAAAGCAGGTATCAAGCAAGAATTATAGGTACAATTTAGTCCATTTACATTTGGCAAATTCAGGAAAATATCATCTGTCCTATCTTTGTGAGTCTAAGGTTTTATATCTAAGTTATCCTTTATCATAACTAAGGAAAACTCTATCTGTCTTCAACTCTTCAAAGGCCCCAGAAGGATATAATATTACCTAAGTAAATAGGAAGTGCATTATAAGCAACTTCCAAAGTTCTAGAATTGACAGAGGCATCTTGTTGCCTGGACAGTCACCCAAAATTCTTCTGTAACATTGGGGCATCCATCTTCAGCCTACAGACTTTTCCATGAAGCAGGAAATTTGAAGATCTGTTCTGCCTTGTACTGGCAAAGTTCATCAGTTGCTTTCTTCTGCATCCTGCAGAATGTCTGGTAGTTTCCTCTGTGAAGCAGGAACCCTAAAGGATCATCCCATTTTTTGGAAAGTTTAACAGTCACTTTCTTATGGGTCCTGCATGTCCAGTTTATATAGCATACCATCAAGCAGTTCAGGAAAGAGCAGTTTTTTGCACAAATGGCTAGTCTTGTCACATTGAAGGCAAATTCCATAATGAGTTTCTTCGATGCCCATCAACTTCTTTGAAGTAATTGGTGCTGCCAGAAGCAGACATGTCTCACTGTTGAGAAAGTCTAAGTTCTTAAAACATTTTAAATGCCTATTCCATAGGTCTTTGAAGTGTTGAAGATTATCTAACTGAAATATATCTCTGTATATCTAGAAAACCTAACTAACATGACTACAAGTTTGACTATTATTAAAATGACTATTAATATGTATTTTTTTCTTTTTGTTTTTTTGTGACAGGGTTTCTTTATGGCTTTGAAGCCTGTCCTGGAATTAGCTCTTGTAGACCAGGCTGGCCTCAAACTCACAGAGATCTGCCTGCTTCTGCCTCCTGAGTGCTGAAATTAAAGGCACGTGCCACCACCGTCCAGCTTAATCTGTATTTCTTAATTATACATTATGTCTTTAAATGAACTGCACAAACACAATACCTTAAACAAGAGCAGAAATGCATATACACAGTGTAACAAATTGATCTTAAATTTGTATCAATAGACCAAGTTCCATACCAATGCAAAGTATTCATCTTTTATCATATTTTCCTTTAAATGAAAACAAACATTTATAAACAATCATTTTGGGAATTTGGGCATAATTTTCTCCAAACTTCTTCCTGTTGTTTGTGGGGTGAAGTATTTTTAGGGTTCATGGAGACATTTTAAGGGGTCTTGTTCCATCAAATCACATTAGCTTGAAAGGAATCCACAGGGTCTCATATTCTGTGGAAACAAAAGCAGAACCTCTTTTCTAAAGTAACATATCCTTAACCCAAATTTTGATGTCAAGCTACCTTTATGTTGGTTTAGCTTAGCAGCCCCCAGAAACAAATGTCTCTCTACAGTCAAAAAAAAAAGCATAATCCAGACCCCCTGTGTATAGTCCATCTTTATATGGCTTATTTTTCTTTACTCCTTTATTCTATGACTATCTGTACTCTTTTATATTACTTTTACTGTCTCTTTAAAGACTTTGTTCTATTTTGAAAACTTTTTTTAACTGTCTATACTCTTTTTCTTCTCTCTTCCAAGCCTACATACATTTTTTAAGCACACTGTGTCTCATTTAGAGGTCTTTTATGTCTGAATATGTCCTATTGTGTATCAGAAATTAGGCACCATTTTATAAACAAGAGACTGCTTGTTTGTTTCCTGACTGCCCAGAGCTGAATAATCACACAGAAACTATATTAATTACAACACTGTTTGGCTTATGACTCAGACATATTTCTAACTAACTCTTACATCTTAAATTAACCCATTCCTATTAATCTATGTATCTCCACAAGGCTGTGGCCTACTAGTAAGGTGGCAGCAGGCATCTTTCTATACCTAAATGACATCTCTCTGACTATGCCTACTCTCTTTATATATCTCTTCCGGCCTGGCTATATTCTGCCCTGCCATATGCCAAAGCAACTTAATTTATTAACCAATAAAAGCAACACATATACAGAACATCCACATCATCAGTGCTCAGGACTAACTAAGCAAACCCTTCAAAAGCAGTTCTGAGGGCAGCTGTAACAGCACAGGCCGTTGCTACAGAAGGTAGCAATTTTCCAATGTCTCAGTCACACACACACACACAAATAAATTTAAAAAAACAACAACTCCACCAAGCTCTGGAAAGGGCTGTTAAACACAAACAGGGGTCAGGTCTCAACTAAAAGTTATTTTGCAGCAGGATTAACTGCTGGAGGTTGAAGACAGCCTGGGCTACATAGTGAATTCTAGGCAATCCTGGGCTATCAGTGAAAGACCTAAAGCCCTATCTCACAATATCAAAAAAAATGGAACATAAAGCAATAACTTTATCAAATAAAGAATCACAATGTGTGTAACTGATGCTTAAAAGTCATGGGCACATACTTAATGCGTGTGGTATGATGACTTGGGATGCTTGCTTCCTGCTGCTCTGTTTCTCTTCCCTGAAAGTGATGGACACCTTCTTGCTATCTTTCACAGCACCCACAGGCCCAAGAACGCTTCAGGTCAGACATTCAGATGTTTACATTATGATTCATAACAATAGCAAAATGACAGTTATGAAGTAGCACCGAAAGCAATTTTATAGTTGGGGCCACCACAACATGAGGAACTGTACTACAGGGTCGCAGTGTCAGGAAGGTTGAGAACCACTGCTCTGGGTGGTGTTGCATAGGAACGAACCCATTAGTGTCCATTACGTGATCTTGCTTATTGATTTTATCAGCATCATTATGATTATTTTGAAGCAGAGTCTCACTAAATAGTCCAGCTTGTGTTTTCTAACTCTTAGCAAGCATGCTGCCTTAGCCTCCTAAATGCTAGAAATACAGGTATCAGCCATTCTGCCTTCTTCATTTAAAAAGTTAATTGAATTATTTTAGAAAAGGTTTAGGCTTACAGAGGAAAAACAAAAAATTCTCACAGATAGTCATAGATTAAAGGAATAAAGAAAAATAGGCCATATAAAGGCGGACTATACACAGGGGGTATTTTTTGTTTTGTTTTTTGAGTCACTGTTTTTCTGTGTAGTCCTGGCTGTTCTGAACTCACTCTGTAGACCAGGCTGGCCTTGAACTCCTGAGATCCGCCTACCTCTGCCTCCCAAGTGTTGGGATTAAAGGCGTGCGCCACCACAGCGGGCTTTGTCATTGGTATCTTCTATTGAAACACAAGTCTCAAAACAAAGAAAAAGATACTGATTATATTATTAACCCAAGTCTGTGTTTTGCTTTTTTCCCAATCTCCTTTGTTTATTTGTTTTGTTTATGTTTGGTTGGTTTTTCAAGACAGGTTTTCTCTGTGTAACAGCCCTGTCTGTCTGACCAGGCTGACTTTGGACTCACAGAGATCCACCTGCCTCTGCCTCCCAAGTGCTGGGATTAAAGGCGTGTACCGCCACCACCCGACTTCCAATGCCCTTTTTATAACTGCTTTTTAAGATACTGAACAACCTGTTTGTGGCTAGGTACATCCTGCCGTGATTGTACTCCATTTTATAACTGCACACTGGGGAGGTTGAGGCAGAAGAACTGTCATCAGTTCAGGCCGAAGTGAGCTACATAGCAAGACCCTATCTTAATAAAATAAAGTTCATTAGTAATGGCACAAGTTTATCTCCCTTGGGAGGAAGAGGCAAGAGGTCAGAAGTTCAAGGCCATCCTCCAGAGGTGCAGTGGTTGGAGGCCAACCTAAGCTACGGGACAACTGGTCTCAGAATAAAGGAAATTAATTTGCACTTAGACACAATAGGCCAGGTGGTGGTGGCACACACCTTTAAGGAAGCAGAGGCAGGGGGATCACTGAGTTCGAGAACAGCCTGGTCTACAGAGCAAGTTCCAGGACAGCCAGGGCTACACACA